GAGTACAGGTCAACTCATGGTCGCCAACCAGGACATAAAGTGACGGACACAATCAAAAGTCTATTGTAGTATTTACAGAGGGAACGTCATGCTTTATCCAAAAGTGTCTAACTAATCTCTGAATTGAACTGACGAAGATTCCCGAATGAGATCTAAAACATTTTCAAGAAAACAGCAAGAAAGTCCAGTTGCCTTTTGGAAGAAAAAACAACAATACCTTTGGGACTTTTGAATGAATCAAAGACAAGTGACTGGAAAGGAACAAAGCATCTTTTTCTTCTTGTGGTAGAATATTATACCAACTTGTCAGCTTTGCCCATTCGAGCTCCACAAAAAACACCTTTTTTTTTTTTACATTTGTGAAATGATTCCTTCCTTTTACATTATCTCTGCCTTCTGGATCCCAACAGTACCAGGCTCTTCTCTTTACAGTGCATCTTTGCCTTTGAAAATGTTGTCTCTGGCCAACCTTAAAAAACCCTAGCAGTGCCCCCCACCCAGCTTAAGCCAATGCAAAAGTGCCAGGAAATTACAAAGGCACAAGCACGTGTCTTGGAAATGGAAATAAGAACCAGAGAAGCTGATATGGGGGGAAGGAATAGAATCTTACCAAACCACCCATTGCTCTTGCAATGACATGATTGTAAGACCCATCAACACAAACACAATAAGGATGGCTCATCGATGGAATCAGATAACTTTACTATAGAAATAAGAAAGTCAAAAAGAATAAGAGGCAAGAGTGCCCTGAAGGGAGGGGCTATTTCTTATCTCATCTGCATAATTTTGCTTTGCAAAACGATGGGCTATAAATATTTCTACTGCCCTTCTATTTGCCAGAGTCAACCTTTCTCTTTCCCATCTACTGTAAGCCAAGGGCTGGGTTCTTAATCATAAAATGAACAACCTGCAGCAATTGCTGGTACATTTGGCTAAAAGGCTCCCCCCAGCCCTATTCCTGGAGCGTGACTAATGCCTCAGCTATCTGCTTTACGAACGGGGAGTATGAACAATAAGGTCAATTTAAACTTCCCATCATTGCAGACCAGCCTTTAAGTGAATCAGCCTTAAGTCTATTTATTTATTCATGAAATGTACAGGGCCACCCATCTCACCCAAAAAGTGACTCTGGGCGGGGTGTGACAAGACTATAAAACAATTAACCCATTTAAAAAAAAAAACGATTATTGAAACATTTAAAAATCACAAAGGCTAAGATGCAGAACAGCAGATGTTAACAACAATGGACAATGGAGAAACCTCAGTATCTCCAGGGAATCCTGGAACCCCGAAGCCTGATGGCATAACCAGGTTTTGAGGGACTTCCAGAAAATCAACAGAGATAGAGGCAGCCTTATTTCAGGACCTGGGTCTCTCATGCTTGTAATAGTCTTCCCCTTGGTACCCCTTTGCCCCCCATTATCTCGGAGAAGACCAACTGAGGTGTTGTGGGTGTGTTCTGAAGTTTGGAAAGGATTGAGAAGTGTGGGACAGTCAAGATCTGTGATCTTCTGTCGCTAGTCAACCTCCATGAAGAAGATACTTCCTTCCCAGGGGTTGTCTTCTCCATTAGCAGCCTTTGATCCCGCCAGTCCTTTTGAACTCATCACCCCCAATACCCATAACATCTGACTGTACTCAGATTCTACAACTTTCATGTGGAAATAACCTGTTCTGCCCTCAAAAGAGCTGGACTCCTGCTTTCTTAACAGTTGGCTGCCAAATGCAATGCTAAAAACCAACTTCGTAGAAATAATATCCGGCCAGAACCACAGCGGCCATATAGGCAATCTGTACATAGATTGCGGTATTTGAAACTCTTCGCTTTCCTGGATTATCTAAGCCTAATCTTTCACTTCACCTAATCATCATAACTGGGTGGAGAGTTTAGCCAGGCATGTATGTATATTTACCTGATCGATAGAAAGAGGGAAAGAGAAAGACTCACTAGCTTTTGCACAACTTTCCGATGACGAAGTTGAAACCTGTTGATGCCAGTCACTCTCAAATGAGTTGCCAATCCTGCCAATATTGTTGTTAGAAGTGCCCTAAATTTAACCTGGTAATCTAATACACAGCCAATTTGTAAGCTCTCACCTGATCCTCCATTGCTACATTCCTAGCTGCCGGAAAATGCAAAACCCAGATCTGACATACCTTGTGTCATTTCGGTTAGACCTAATAAGGGCAATGTGATTCTACGTATTGCTGTCTTTTAAACAATTTCCTTTCATTATGTCAGGACACCAATCTTTCATTATTGGTTTGTAGTTGAAGGAAACACTTCCATACTGCTCTCAAGAGAACAACAGCCCCCTGTATCATTAGAAGTTGAGCTTCATCTATAGAATCTTTACTTTTAAACTGAAGTTGGTGGTCTAGCTTTGATAACTCATCATTATAGAGTAAACCTGAGGGATGGGGGCAGACAGAAAAAGCTCTGATCAATAACTGATCTCTCATAACTCATTAAGCCTTGATATATCTTGTTTTGTTTATGGCTCAGAGTGTTGGTTACACTTGCTTATAACTTTATAATCTTTTAAAATTCAAATTTAACATTTTCATTCTCATACACTGTTTTATATTTTGGTACAGCACAGTGTACTGTATACTTGGAGTGAGTGGGCAGTCCAGAAATGAGAAATATAAAAAAATAAATACAAGCCCAGCTAAAGTGGCTTCTTCAACAAATACACTTTTGCGAGATCCAGTCTGGGACACGTATATTTGCCTTCATTCATAAACCAACTTTAAAAAAAAAAAAAAAAAAACCTTGTTTTTGTACAATGCATGAACCCAGGGATAGGTTTATTGCAATACTTGAGTTTGTCAAAGACTTGCTCTAAAGCTCTCCTAATTATTTTAGTTAGTGGAACTACTCATTGCGTTTGGCCTGGACATTGCTGTTATCAATGACAGATTTAGCATGACTGAAAGAAAGCCAAAGGAACAGAAAGTTCACCTATCTCTGGGAAATCTGGTGAAGTCAATTGTTTGTAAGGGACTATAATTTTAAAAGGTCTGCGATTCTTATCTGGAATTACACTATATGAAAAAATAGGAAGTAGACGTTGCTTCTGTAGGAATGTTAAATATGACACTACCAAGAGCAGAAAAGGCTTCAGCAGAACAGGAAAAATGCATTACGTTGCCCCATTTAGACAGTGGTTATTTCCACCACTTACACAGATGTAGCAATTGCTGGTATGTATTAAATGAGCATGCAATGCCACGTAATTAAGTTGCTCCTACGAACTGCTATAATGAACACTTCCTTACTTTAAAATAGGATTTCATACAACTGAAAGTATAAGTTTTGTAAAGAGGTTTTGTATCCTGAACATTTTGAGAGCATTTTTTGTTTATTTGTTTTTTGTTCATTGCACAGAAGACGTTTAAAGTGCAAAGTCACACTCTTAAAGCCAAGGGTAAGCCATTTGATTCTGTGAGCATTACTTCCAAAGGCACATGTACATCTCAAGGAAGGAGTTGTTTCTGCCTACGGTGAAAGTGTCCAGCTTGAGACCCACCAACACATACCCCCCCAAATGTGCAGCCTCAGAAGCCCCCTTAAAAGTGGCTCAGAATTTAATTTTTCACATGTGCAAAGGCAAAAATGATTCGCCTTATTCACGCTCAGTGAATATTATCAATCCAATTTCAGTAAATTGAATTGTTTATTTCATGCTGGCCTTTGTCACGTGCAACAACAGGTTCCTGGGACATCAAAGCCCAATCTTACCCCAGCAGAAATTAAGGGAAGCTAATGAACTTTATTGAAATAATCTCTTTCCCTTTGGTAGATATTAACCAAGCGGTAATCCTCCCTTGTGGATTCAACCCACAGGTACAACCCTGAGACTGAGTTCCTGAGTCAATCTAGCAAGAATTTAAGTAAAACAGCCTAAAATTAGGCCAGGCTTTTTTTTTTCTTTTCTTTTTGCCTACCAGGTTCCCAGCAGAGTTGAATAAAATACTAACTGTTGGCCAGAGAATAAACTGTCAATATTCACTGTTGGGTTATAGAATTAATTTTGTGCATTCATTCAAGGCAGGTTTCTGAGTTCATTCAATGCTGTACCTTGAACCAAGAAGCTGATTAATCAGAGGATCCGGTTTCCCATTAAAATTCTCTGATCAAGGCAGGAGGGCATCAATGAGGTGGTCTCACAGAAAGCCAAAACCCACCCAGTCCCCATTTCCCATAGAAGTCACAGGTATGGCACCAGGCAAGAGAAGGCTTCAGTTTCTTCCAGCAAAGTCTACCTACCCCAGATGCCACTCTGCCCCATTTATCACCCCCGGGAAAGAGATGCCAAGGCGTTGCGCCTATTTCTCATCCATAAATGTATCCCATAGCGCGCAGTTGGCAGCCCGGGGGTGCAAGAAGCAGACAGACAAAGAGCCCAGGGCATTGCTGGGTGGGAGTCAGTGTCTCCCCCACCCACCCACCCAATTCGATTTTCAACCACCAAGCAGAATGTACCCTCATTTCACAGTTTACAAAGGGGGAGAGAAACGCGGCGCTTTTTTTTTTCTCGTTTTGGCGAGATGTTCACTTCGCCAAGAAGGGAGGTGGCTGGAGGGGGTGGGTAAGGCTTTTCTCTCTCTCTCTCTCTCGGCCTCTCCGCGGAGCCCCCTCGGAAAGCAAAGCTCCAGTTCAGCCCACTCCCCTCTGCCTTTCTCTGCAACTTCACATTAAACGAGGCTGCGAATCGGTGGTGGGGGGGGGGAAATACCTGTAACGCAAGTTGGTGGTTCTTTTGTTTTGTTTTGGTTTGGTTTGAAAAAAAAAAAAAAGTCCAACGCTAACAGGATGAGATGAGAACAGAACTAATCCGAGCCGGGGGTGGGGTGGAAGCAAAGCCCCCCCCGTCACACACACACACACACACACACACACACACACACACACTCGCGGGAAACCTCCTCCCTTCCGAGAGACCAAAGGGGTCCCGCGTCAGGAAGAACCCCCCCCCTTCCTGCCCTGCGCTCACCTTGCGGAAATAGCAGGCGCCCCTCTGGTCCGAGGCCGGGCAGCCGGTGGGCAGCAGCGCCTCCGTCATCTCCAGCGGCTGGTTGGGGCCGGGGCTGGTGGCGCCCGCTGCCTCCGTGGCCAACTCACCAGTGCGCCCTCGCCGCCGCCTCGCTTGGGCGCCCGGGCACAGCACCAAGTGCGCTCTCGCCGCTCTCCAAGCTCCGCTCCCCGCTGCACTTCGCTCCTCCCTCTCTACCTGGGAAACCCGCAAAGGGGGGCGGGGGGGGAGGAGGAGGAGGAGGAGGAGGAAGAAGAAGCCACAAAAGCGCTTCCTTGGGCTGGTGCCTTTTGGATCCGAGCCGCGGTCCCTCCCAGCAAAGGGCTGTGCAAAGAATCAGACTCAGAAGGGTGCTGGAAGGGAGCGTGGAGGTCTTCTAGTCCAACCCCCTGCTCAAGCAGGAGGCTCTATGTTACTTGAGATAAGTAGCTGTCCAGTCTCTTCTTAAACACCTCCAGTGATGGAGCAGCCACAACTTTGGAAGGCAAGCCGTTCCACTGGTTGATTGCTCTCACCGTTGTTGGGAAGTTTCTCCTTAATTCCAGGCTGCTTCTCTCCTTGGTTAGTTTTCATCCATCAGGGAGAGAGGCAACCTGGAATTAAGAACGGTGGGGTCAGAGTGGTGGGGTCATCCCAAACTGGGGATGCATTTTTCCCACCCATCCCTGTCCCCAGGCTCCTGGTCAAAGGAACGACCTTCCCAGGGCTGTGGGTTTATTAGCCAGGAAGATCAATTGGTGCCTGGGATCCATACCTTTGCACCTAATCAAGAGGCAGACCCCATCCTACATTAGTAGATCAAAGGATCAATCGATCCTGTTAAGGGGGGGAAAGGGGTCCGCTTTTGGATTAAGTCCATCCGTGCACCCTTAGCAGGATCCCTGGTTTTATATTAAACCTTGGTTTGCTTTAGTTTAACTAAGTGGGATTCACGAAACAGGTAGGCATAAACCGTGGTTTACAAGGGTGGGTGGCTTCACTCATTAGAATGATTAGATGACATAGCCCTGCTCGTTGTCCTTAACTTACGACTATTTGTTTTGCAACCGCTTGAAACTACAATGACACAGAAAAAAGTGTCTTGAAATTGGTCTTCCACTGTTATGACCATCACAGCATCCCTAAGGTCATGTGATCAAAATTCAGATGCTTGGCAACCGATGGATATTTACGACAGTTGCAGCATCCCAGGGTGACCATTTGCAAAATACCTAGCCAATTTTGGATAAGCAAAGTCAGGGCAGATTCGCTTAACAACCAGGGCAAAAACAAAAAAATAAATCCTAAAATCCTGCATGACTCACTTAACAAGCGCTTGGCTTAGCAATGGAAATCCTTTTTCCAATTGTGGTCCTAAGTCAAAGATTACCTGTATATTGTGGTTTGGCTAGGTTTGACCGGAACCTTGCTTATCCCAACATCCCAAGGGTTTCAGCCGATCAGCAAAGTGCACCATAGAGCTAGTATCTAGCAAATACATAAAAAGGCAGGCCTTTGTTGTTCTTAAGCCCCAGCATTAAGTTTCCTTATCCAATTGGTTTTGTCAGTTATTTACCTTTGTTTAGAATAAATAATGGTAGGAGTAGAGAGATACAGCTTTTAAGAAAACAAAAAAACATTGTCTTTGCTTTAACACAGCTCAATCTTTTCTGTGTCTCTTTAGAAAAGGATCTGGTTGCCAAGAAACCGTGTCCCAGTGGAATTTTATCTTTTTGTCTCCCAAGTCTTTCAACATCTTTTTTTTTGTTGTTCTTTAGTTTTGGAGAGGAATTTTCTTTCTCTTCTTTTTTCTTCCTTCCTCTTGTTTCTCTTTTGCCATCCAAGGGCTGAGTGTGGGTGGGAGGGCTCCCTCCTTTGGGAATAATTGCTCTGGGGTGGGGGGAGAGAATGCTTTTTTTCTTTTAAGAAAAAGAGAGATTTGGTACTCATCGCAGTGGATTTTTTTTTTTTCCCCCACAGCATTTTGGGGGCATTCACAAAAATGGCCAGTTCGTGGGCATTGCTCACTGGTGGAAATCTTATATTGTAAAAGTAAAAAATAACTGGTGGATTATTTTACAGCCACACAGCAAATATGTGGAGTGGCAGGTTTGGAATGTGTTATCGAAACTTCAAGAAGGCTATTTTCGATGTGGTAAAATGAATTGTGCCTGAAATGCGGGGCAAAGTGAAAAGTTCTTTTTGCATTAAGTGCTTCCCAGAAAAGAGTACCTTTGAACTTTCAAGCCCATGCTGAAGCTTTCCCAAAGGATTGGCCTTGTTTTGGAATACATAATATGGATTTAAATTAGACAATTGTATCACAAGCATAATGTTAATTGTCAACAAAACAATCTATCAACACCTAGCTTGTTTTTCTTGTCAGGACTCAGTACAGATACATATGAATGGGAAAGCAGAACAGTGTTGGAGGTTCCCATTTTATGGATAAGAAGTGTCTTCTCCAATGCTTCATGCCTTTAAAATCAAAGGCATTGTGTTTCGACCAACTGATTTTGCTTTCTTTAATACAAATATTGATCCATTCAATAATTTAAAATATGGAATTGTATTTCGATTAGAAGTCCTCCCTCCGCATGCAACTGATCCATTTCAAAATGCCCGCATTATTGTACATATAACATTATTTCCTCCACATTGAATAACTGCATTAAACCCACATGGAAAGGGAAACAAGGATAAAAACAACAACAATGAGTTTCGAGATGGGATATGTTTAATCAACCCAGCTATAAAGCTCCAGAGAGGGTGGGTGATGTGTATATATATATATATATATATATATATATATATATATATATATAATTCAAAGGACGAAAGTTTCAAAGGTCAGGCAGATACCTTGGATATGTCCAACTAATTCCACAAAAGGAATGTGAATGAGTCAGTGAGATTTTCTTCTTTTACTTTTGTCCTCTTTGTGTTTGTGTGTGTGTGTGAGAGAGGGGGGGGGGGAATTCTCCTGTGCTTTTGAAAAGCAACTCATCAACCAGAATAGAATCAAAAAAGGAAACTGTCTTTGAGATAGAGTTAAAGAAAGGCAAAAACTACAAACATCCCTTATTTTAAATTACTTATTTTTTTAAATCACTTAATTTTTGAAAGGGCACAGTTTTAAACATGCTGCTGTGTTTTAATACTTCCTGCATCTCTTTGGATAGTAGCACCTAAGTAAGCCTCACTGATTTCAAAAACTAAGCTGGAGCAGGCCCGGTTATATATTAGTGGGAGACCAGAAACTTAAACTCCCAGAATTCCCCAGCCAGCTATGATGCTGGCTAGGGAATTCTGGGAATTGAAAACCACATGTTGCCAAGTTTGAGAAACATTGTACTATAACTTTATCAATACTTTATTGTTTTTTAAAATTGAAAATCCTTGTAACGGTATATAACAGTGGTGGCGAACCTATGGCACGCATGCCAGAGGTGGCACTCGGAGCCCTCTCTGTGGGCACGTGCACCCTTGCCCCAGCCCCGCCTTCCCCCGCGGCCCTCTCCTCACCATCAGCCCACCCTGGAGGAAAATCACTCCCGGGCATGGCCCGCACAGAGCAGCACAGCCAAGTACATAGCTGGGCAACAGGAACAAGACTCCAGCCTCGCACCCCACAGCATGCAGATGATGCTGAGGGGTGTGGGCGGAGGGCGTGGCTGCCATGGCTGGCGCTGCAGGGCTGCCTGAGTGATCTGCTGCAGCAGGCCACGGATGCAGTGAGTGGCCCTGCGGGTGGGTGGGGCAGGGGGCGTGTGGGGGCGGAGCAGGCAGGGCGGCAGGTGGAGCAGGGACGGGGAGCGGTTTTTGGGCACTCGGTCCCTAAAAGGTTCACCGTCACTGGTATATAAAGATCAAATCATAGAGTTGGGAGGAATCATAGAATGCATCTACTCCAACCCCTATCAAAAGTTCTCAATGTGGTCTGTATGCCCCCCCAGGATGCCATATTATATTTTTAGGGGGGTCACAGGGAGCTAGCCAAACTTAACAGGATAGTTTTTACAATAAATACCTTAACAGTGACTATGACTGGGTGGGTGAGCCCCAGAGGTAAATAGGGCTCTGAACGGGGCCGTGAGCCATAAAAAGTTTGAGAACAGCTGTATTAGAGCACAATGTGATAATCTTATATATATAAAATCTATATATAACAATCACATTCTTCAGAGCAACAATTCAAAATGCAAATTGTAACACCCCCACAGAGGTATAGAAACACCCAGGTGTGCACACAGATATATTTCAAGCACTGTAGATAAATAATAATCTTGGTTTAGCCTCCAATTCCAGATAATCTTCCGCCAATCATGCATTCAGGAATTTCTAGCAAATCCTGATTTTCTGCAAGGCACAATCTGAATAACTCACAAATCAGACATCATTGGCTTCCCATAACTTTCACTCAATTTTTCCTGTTTTATTTATTGGGGGGAGGGATATTTGCATGCTGCCAGGCACAGCACTTGAATTTCATCTTGATTTCCAAAAATACCTCTGCAGCCTATGTGGGGGTTTAAGGGCATTGTTAGAAAATAAAAATAATTTGACTGCACAGTACGAGTATGCACATCATGTGCCCAGGGGGAAAAATACATGTGAAGGTGCCAAAGAATATCCAGGTATTGTATAATATTTATGCAATGTGCATAAGTGTAAAGCTTTGATCATTCTGTTGAATGAAGGCATATTAGATACGTTCACCGCCTTGACTTATTTATAAAAATAATAAAGATAGGATTAAAAACATCTGAAAATAAAAATGCAATACGCAATAAATATAATAAAAATGATGCTCTTTGCCCTTTTTCTATTGAACTATTAGCATCTTAAGCTTTCCCCCCAACGTTTTGTCTTTTTTCATCCCCAAATCCTGAAACTGTCAATTTCATAACCACATTTTCGCACGATGGCGTCACTGCAGGCATGTCATTCTTCTGACATCATAGCAGCTCCTGCAGATGCCAGGGCTGTGATTCATACGGAAAGCTGTGGTCACACCCATTAGCTTTTTAAAAATAACCTCTCCAGATCCACGTTTTTCAAGCTGGGCAAGTTTAAGATCCATGGGCTTCACCTCCCAGAATTCCACGCACGCTGGCTGGGGACTTCTGGGAGTTGACGTCCACAGCATCTGAGAAGTTACCAAGCTTGAAAACACTGTTCTC